TTTGGATTAGGAAGGCGAGACATTGCCAGTCAGAGTAGTGAGATTGATAATACTGTTATATACCGAGCCGGGGTGGACCCGAAGAGTAAATGGCCGAGGGACTGGAGGCTCTGGTATGTCGGAGCGTCGGAGAGCCGGAGGGTCCAGAACGTATACGAAGGACTATCACAACACCACAGAGGGTCAAGGGTGAGTGACTACCCTAACCGGCAGGTACCCGATAGAGGAAGACAAGTCGGAGTACCGGAGGGAACCGGAGAGGACGGAGACGACTCAGTGCAAGGAAAGTGAGCCAAGCAACGTCAATTATCAATCTGACGTACAGGACATATTAAAGATGTATTTATACTAAGTATCTAATTGTATTCCATAAAAGGAAGGAGAGTGGTTCTTAACAATAAGACAAGTCAGATGGACTGATGAGAAGTCGTATGACAATAAGTGAAAAGGAAGGAAGACGGATAAACGGGAAACGCTCAGTAATCCTTCATTGCGTAAAAACCCGATGGTACCGGATGGTTCGGAGGCTCCGGTAATATACCGGAGCCTCGGAACCTACCGGAGCTACCGGAAGGTCGACGAGAAGACTGGGGATGTTGCATGGATATAACAGGCCGGCTTCGTCTTGGATTCACGACATGAGGGAGAATGAGTAAGTTAGCAATGCATTAGGTAATCGTCACGTGCTAGGTACATGGCGGGAATCGTAAGAAGTAATTGTAAGTGAGTAAAATAGACGGCCACAGGCCGTGTCAGGAAAGTAAAATATAGGTAAAATACATGGGCGTCACATTCCTGGTCGGAAAATCGAAGTCAAAAACCTGCATCTGACCGATTCGCCGCTCCCGGCCCCAACCCGGACCACACTGAATATTCTGGTACTTTATACCGTCTTGCTGGCCTGAAAATGACTCGGGGAGGGGGTATTTCTCACATATTAATTACAGGCATCCCAGAACCTCTGATGTGAGAAAGGTTATTAACGTGTTAATAACATGTTAGAAAGTTTGTGTTATTTAACGTGGACTTTCTTACACAGCGCTACCTGAGCAACTTGATATCCATCATCGGTTGGCAGCCTGCTATATATCAGCATCTCTCCACCTGGATTACGGTGTGCTCCCGTGATGACGATTCTTACTTGGGAATTGATCTGGATTCAGAGGGAAAATTCATCCACATTCTCCGGAGTGTATGGGTCCCAGAATTCGATGAAGACACCAATTTTGGACAACACCGAAAGGAGCTGGGCTTTGGCAATGACTGCGTTGTCTAACGTTTGGGAGGAATTCGACACTCAGGCCTGGGGAAAATACGAATTCACTCCCGAATTCGTGCGGTTGGTCTGCTGTACGGTGTCTACATCACTTCGGGTTCGATACACCATATGGTGTCCCTCTTCGGAACGGTGGGACGACATATTATTCCCGAGGGCCTGCAGGGCTGTCTTTGCATCGCAACTCGGCGCCGCACTCATTTGGGCTGCACAGGAGGCCAGAGACGCAATCGCGGCCGTGAATATGGCTCCCGACCATACCCACTCGTTACAACGAGTGGCCGATTTCCTGGACGCAGTGGGCCGTAAAATTGGGATCGATTTTGAGCCGGGGAGTGGGGAGGTGGAGATCCTAGGTGAAGTGAAGCCGCATACGGACTGGGACGATCTGAAGAATATCTTTATGGTGATAGTGGAAACATTGGAGAAATCCTTGGGCATCGACAGATAGGTACTTTGATTGTAGATATGCAGCATCAATTTTACTTGGCCGGTCGTTGTGCATCGTTGCCGAGAGGAGTAAGGCAACATCACCGTGCACCCATGAGGTTCTTCATTCCCATCAAATCTCGTTGTAAGAAGCTCCTATTTCCAACGGGCACATCTACATGATAATTCTGACGCCCTAGCTAGCCGTTCACAATCATTCAAACATCTCTTCACCACCATTGGAATATCAGCAGTCGATGTCGTTCGTGGTGCCTGGATCGAAGTCATAAACAAAAACGATCACCATCAACGCTGCGTGGCTCACATCGTGCGACCTACACGATTCTGGCATGAGCACATTCCCAGCACAATGATTACAAGAACACACCTCTTCCTGCACGGCACAGCAGTCAATATTGTTTGTGGTGCCTGGGTCCCAGTCATGAGCGGAAGCGATCACAGGAAACGGTGTGGTGCCTACAGCGCACGGCCTACACGATTCTGGGATGAGCACATTCCCAGCACAATGATTACAAGAACACACCTCTTCCTGCATGGCACGGCAGTCAATATCGTTTGTGGTGCCTGGGTCCCAGTCATGAGCGGAAGCGATCACAGGAAATGGTGCGGTGCTTACAGCGCACACACAGGGGGCAAGGAGCGAGGCATGTAACAGTTACATGCCTCAAAGGCAGTTGCCAGGCAGGTGTGAGGCATGCGGCAGGGCAGTTTGCGTGGCAGTCAAAGACAATTATAAGTCAAAGAGCTCAAAGCGCTCGTGGCCCGGCTCGCCTGTCAATCAGATCACCAGGGTGTCAACACGATCACTTGCTCATTGAGTTCTCACGCTGATCGCGTCACGCAGCAAATACGCGGTTTTAAAATTTCTTCACCACAAAGTGTTCACCTGTACTCACATAATTTGTAGTTGAATGATATCCGTGCATTTATACCTGAGAGGTACACCATGCAATTGTATGCCCTTCCGATGAACTCTGAGGGCATCGATTCAAAGCTGTGGTTTGACCGATCATTCAAGCCACCATTGTTTGCCGCCGCCAATGGCCTTCACCTCAATCCCCCACACCCAGTTCATCCAGATATTCATCTCCAATTGCCATCAGGGTGGGCATATATGTCCATCCGAGTTGAAAATGCTTCAAGATGACTATTCCAAACTGGATGAAGTCAGGGGGCGCAACTAGATTGTTATGTGTGAAATATCCTCAGATCTCATTTCAAGTATGCATCCAAATGATGATTCAACAATTGTTGTTCGGTCACAGATTTAAGTATAAGGACACAAAGATGCGGAGAAAACTCAAAGACTGCATCAAAATCCAAAAATGACCTACTCAGAGTTGACCAACGGGGTGTACAATTGCATGGTGTAGCCCTCAAGTAGAAAAGTAAGAATGCCATTCAAAGACTGCAAACTATATGAGTAAGGGGGAACACCTTGTGGTGAAGAAATCATAATATTTGCTGCATGACGCTGAGAACTGAATGAACAGGTGATCGCGATTTGAACACCCAGGTAATTTGATTGGAAGCCGATGGGAGCTCTTTGACTTATAATAATAATTATCTTTGACAATGACTGCCGCGCAAACTGCCCTGTCGCGTGCCTCGCACCTGCCTGGCAACTGCCGTTGAGGCACGTAACGGTTACATGCCTCGCTTCTTGCCCCCTGTGACAGCCTACACGATTCTGGGATGAGCACGCTACATAGATAGTTATGGGGAGCTGGACTCACAGCCAAGGGCTTGGGCAGGACGCCCGGAATGGCAGCAAGAATGAAAGCAACAAAGAAGCACTTGAGTCCTAGCATGATAGAACGAAGAGAGTGTTGCTGGAATGCAGCTGCACGGTATTCTTTAATACGTGAGCGGGGCCGAGGCCGCCGACGGGTATACAGAGTGCCGTCACGTAATTAATTGGCTCCTGGCTGCTGAGCGGGGATTCGGAGACGACCAGGGAGTTTGCAACCAGTTACCAAATCACCGTCGAATATCAATTGGTTGCGGGAGCAGGGAATCGGACACGGCGCATGATGCATTTGATCCCCGCCAGGGCCACAGATATGGAGGAGGCGGCAAAGCGGAGCTAGACCAAAGCTAGATCACATACACAGTCTGGAACGGGTTTCTCGGCCCAGGGCTGACCATTGAACGCCAGTGGAAAGTTGGTTGAGGTTTTCAATAAAATGATGTAGCGAGGGCTGTTTCCAATCCGGCGGTGTTGATGTAGGGGATGCAGATAGAATGGTTCAGGAAAACAGGATGGTGCTGGACGTTGGAACGCTGCCGAGGCGGAAAAGACCATGGTGGCTGTCAGAAGAATAGATCGACTAAGTTAACTGCCTTGGGATGATGGACTCATGCCCAGATGGGAGGTACGAAAGATCGGGGCGCTCTCTGTAGAATGGCGCGCTCAGGCTGAACTCTGACCCACATGTAGCAGATGGAAACAGACCCCATAATATAAAGACAGGCGTATAGCGGCCATGTGGAGCACACGAATGGACAAATCGCCTACAGCACGCGTAGAGACCGAATCGTCTGGTTGACGGTGTGGAAAGTCAGATTCAGGCTAAGCACCACCCAGTTTCACCCGAAAGTAAACGTACTTGAGTTTCCGCCAAAATCAGTCAGGCCAATTTATTACAATTCAGGGCGGTGGCCGGAAGACCGGGTGGTAATCGTATCAACAGAGAGATACACGAGAAGGTATGTTTGAGGTACGTGTCAAGAGTCGGACGGTCAGTCGCAGTCGCTCATTGTATCGTTGGTTCAAGTTCAATAGGCCCGGATTACGGGATGGGGCAACAGGGTGAGAAAAGGGGTGAACGGTGGGTACCACATGAAGGGCCGGAGACGTGGAGGATATTCATCCACGAATCGACAACATGTACAGCGGTTGTATTGGTTCCGAGTCCAGCGCTGTGCCGGCGGGCCACGCCGACCGGGTGAGTTTCGGAGTCAGCTTTAAAAGGTCGGGAGAGAACAGGAGCAAGACACAAGGCATAGTGTTCTTATCAACGAGCGGGAAGGACAGCAGTGCGGGAGAATCAGACTGAGATGCCTGGGTTCGGCCGGGGCCACGATGTGATCGCCCGACAAAGTCCGACGTGATCGGAGTCGGAGCCGCATCATTCCCACTCCTGAGTTTCCGCCTCAAACGTAAGCACCCGATCGGGTAATTTGATGGTGGCACAGTTTGGCGTATTCAAGCTCCGCCGCTTCTATATACAGGGGGGCCAATGAGATGGGTAGAATTTGAATGACTTTGAACGCTGCTGTGGCTCAGGTGGTTATACCGTCACTGTGTTATGGTGCTGGCGCAAGTTCGATTCCGGTGGTCAGTACTTTCTTTTCTTGGTTTTTTGCTTTTCTCGCTTTGCCTTTTCGCTGCCCATCGCAACAAACAAAGATGCACCCCCTGTCAAGGAGTTAGGGCAAGCACAGCGCACCCTAACTCCGGGTATCAGCTGTGCCGTCCCGCCACACTGGTTAGGGTTAGAGTTAGAGGTTTGCCTCAGGTATCCATATGAAAAACCCAATACAGATGTGGAAAGTGCACTTTTCATTGGGCCGTTATAGAAATCAGTTATGGCTGAACACGACAAGAATACCATCTCCCTTTCCACTTCACCCAGTTCCTCAGCTAGTTCTTCCCGGGCTTCATCTGTGAACCCTTCTTCCTCTTCATCCTCTCCAGCCTCATCTTCCGATGACTCTAGCTATTTTTATGTCATCCTCTGGCAATACAACACCGATGTATTGAATAGTGTACGGAAGGATGAGGATTTTCGAAGTATGCCTTCACTGGGGGGGCTCTGTCATGGATAACAGGATTTCATAGTGTATTTTGAATATCCTTGTATATTACCATTCATAAATTCGCTTTTTGGATCTAGAGTGAAAGCACACTTCTAAGATATCATTCTCAATTAAATTTACGAATTATGGATGGCATTGAAGTTCCTGAACGACTCAAACGTTGAGTGGGATCACAGTAATCAATATTTGATCGGAGATCAAATGTCATTAGAACGAGTCTCTCAACTCGTTCCTGCTCACACTAAGACACATTATATGTGTCTTTTCATATTCATTACGTGTCAACCCTTATGGTTGATACATGGTCAATCTATGTAGGATATTTACTGTACAATACAGAATGTATGGAATATTCCCGGAACCTCAGAGAATATTCCAGAACATTTCTAGAACATTCCTTATTGCTGTGTCTAAGAACATTCTAGTGCTGCACAAGAATGTTCTAATGCTAGGTAGAACCTTCTAGCATCCACACTCATTAGTATATATATGAGAGCCGCTCCTCATGTGACGACACCACATCTTTACTTCAATCCATCATCAGTAGCCATTCTACTCTCAACTTCGAAGACGCTAGCCATAGTTGCCTATAGCCGATTCAAACTAAGTTCCTAGCCATAGTTGCCTAAGGAAATTAGGGCCCTTGTATTCCCTTGTTAAGCGCATAGCCCACTGGGACCTGGGTCACGATTGTAGTGATTCTTGATTGTTTGGCTGATTTAAGTTTGAGGCACTCGCATTGAGGGTTTCCAGTATTTGAACCCTTCCAAATACTCTCTAACGATTTACGACTAACTGACTAAACTGCAAAAACATCACTCACGACTTCAGCACTCAAACGCTGACTTACGCTCATAAAACGCTAAATCCTAACATTGGTGGACACATTGGGAAATTCTCAATTGAGTGCACTCCTCATTCATGTTCTAAATCAATAACTAACACAGTAACGATGTCTGGCCAAAATGATGCTGGTCAATCACACACACCCACAATCCTTCCAAGTTCAAGTCATATAATTTTGGTGACCAGTGCACTAGGACTGGCTCCTTTTGACATCACTCTTTCAGCCAGCAATATCAGTGCTCTATCACAGCTAGATGCTGGACACAACAAGAGTTCTGCTGTGCAGCTCATGCTCAATTATAGTAGCCCCACATTCATTCCCAACTTGGATCAAGAACTATTCTTTCCTTCAACTAATCCACATCCAATCGTTCTGGACAAGACCCTGTCATGCTGCTACCATCTGAGGAACCTGATCTTCTTAATTCCTGTTGCATTCTCATCTCAGCTCACTCGAGTGGTCCCTGAAGGTGTACAACAATTGGTGGAAATTCTGCATGGGTCTTCAACAATTAATTATTGTGCAGAAATTGAAAGCAATTGGGATACACGGAGAGTTGCTATTGGTACATATTGCATGAACCACAAGCAGTTGGACAGGCTGAAGGCTAAGGCTAGCCATGCTTCCTATCATCAAACTGGGTACCCTAGAGAATCCAAGAGAGCTACTCCTACTTCTAAGGGAGCTAGACCTTGTCGTCATTGTGGCAGTGGCCTGCACTGGGACTCTGAATGTAAATATGCATTCAAGGCGGCCCAGCAGGCAGCCAGAGCAAATCTAATTTGTCTTGATGACTATGAAATTCAGGCCCAGGATGAGTATGATGACCTATATTATGCTTTAAACTCAGATGATGAATCTACTAAAAACTCACGGGAATCCAAGCAGGATTTTTGTAGTCCCCTTCAGTCTACTGAACCTATAGTCCATCTTGTCAGCTCAGACGAGGCTATCATGGAAGAGCATTCAGCACTGAGGGGGGTAACTGATCCAATTGGATCATTGAGTATTACAGAAGAATTAAACCTCATCTCGCAAAGCATCGTAATGGACAATCATATCGAAGAAGGTGTACCTGTTGATGTCAAGTTTACTCAAACTTCATCTGAGGGAAAGCCTTCAATTTCTGCTCAGTCTAAACCTGTCCTGAATCGCCGTAGTCGACGCCACCTTGCCAGAGAAGTGCAAGCTGTTAATTATGCTATAAGACATGAAGAAGGCGCTCCACCAGATAGGCCACTAATAGAGCTCAAGAAGTATATGGCTAGACCCCCAGGATGTTCTTTCCTCGGAGCAAAGGCTACACAGACTTGGGCTACTGTAGGTGGTATAGATGGAACTGCAATTGGAGTCATGAAAGACACCGGTTCAGATATTACCTTGATATCACAACAAGCATTAGACGGTTTGGCAAACAAACCTCGGAGTAAAGTGGGTCAAAGCGTGAATCTCATTCAAGTAACTGGAAAATCTGCAGTGAAAGAGTATGTCACATTGGATCTGTACTTTCACACCCAGGAAGGACCTGTTAAAATTACTGTTGAAGCTTATGTTGTTAAGGGAATGTCTACTCCATTTATTCTCGGTAATGATTTCTCAGATCAATATTCTCTATCAGTCATTAGAGACAAGGGAGAATCATATATCATTTTCGGAGATTCTGGAAGAAGACTACATGTACATAGTTCAACCTCATCATCATTAGTTGATGAAGATGGACATACTTTCAAAGTCTTTGTAGAGAAATCACGATCTGGAAGACAGGCTGGAATTCATCAGAAGCATCAGAAGCTCAAACAGCGCTCTCGGATCAGGACAAATAAGGGGGAAGTTCGCGCAATAAATCGTGTAGTTAATCCTGCTGAAACTCGTGTGGCTATTCCAGTTCAAGTCTATTTCCCGAGCGGAGTTGACAGTCTTTTTGTTGAGAAGAAACTGTTTGCTCATGGTAATGAAGACAACTTGTATGGAGCAGCTGACTCGTTTATCTCACGGGAACAACCATTTCTGCATGTAGCAAATTTCTCTAAACTTCCGGTAACAATTGCTGAAGAACAGATCTTGGGCACTGCAAGGAATCCCAAGAATTGGCTGGATCGATTTGATAAATTCTCACAAGAGGAACAGAATCACATTCATGTTCATGCTTCTCTCGTTCGGACCTTGGTTGATGAGAAGCTCAATGACCAGAACAAATCCAGCAATACAGAGCATCTAACTGGTTCTGCAGTTCGAGCTGAAACAAGTATTTCATCCAAGGCCCAACGCAATGCAACAGAGGCAGATGATCCCCTAGCTGAAGAGCCACTTGAAGGTGGTCCAAAAACTGCCGAGGCTCCCGGAGATGATGTCTCTAGCACAGAGTTCTTGGAGCAAATTGATATTTCACCAGAATTGACAGAGGAGCAACGTATCAAAGTGGAAAAGATTTTGATCAAGAATAAAGATGTCTTTGGACTTGATGGACGTCTGGGTAATTATGCTGGGAAAATTGATATCCAATGAAACCAGGATTCGAACCAGTTTCACTGCCACCCTTTGCAACATCTCCTGCCAATCGGGAGGTTATTGATAAGCAAATGGATTCTTGGATCAAACTCGGAGTTATTGACCCATCAAAATCACCTTGGGCAGCACCAGTCTTCATCGTTTACCGCAATGCCAAACCTTGAATGGTAATTGACCTGCGGAAAATGAATGAAATGGTTATTCCAGATGAATTTCCCATACCCAAGCAGGATGATATACTCCAGGCATTAAATGGCTCACAATGGCTCTCCACTCTTGATGCACTTGCAGGATTCACACAGTTGACCATGTCAGATAATGCAGCAGAGAAGCTTGCATTCAGGACTCATCGCGGACTTTGGCAATTTCGACGGATGCCATTTGGTTATAGGAACGGACCTAGTCTCTTCCAGCGCATTATGCAAACTGTGTTGGCCCCATTTTTGTGGATTTTCGCACTTGTGTACATTGATGATATTGTCATCTTCTCAACAACATTCGAAGATCATTTGAAACATATTGATCTAGTATTGAGTGCAATCCGAGAAGTCAACATCACACTCTCCCCGTCAAAATGTCATTTTGGATATCAATCATTACTTCTGCTTGGCCAGAAGGTATCCAGATTGGGGCTTTCCACACACAAGGAGAAGGTTGATGCAATCATCCAACTGGCGGAACCACGTAATATCCCAGAACTGCAAGTTTTTCTGGGAATGATGGTGTATTTCTCGTCCTATATTCCATTTTATGCATGGCTTGCACATCCTCTCTTCCAATTGTTGAAGAAGGAAATAAAATGGGAATGGACAGATCTTCACCATGAAGCATTTGAGTTATGCAAGCAAGTGCTGACTAATGCTCCTGTCCGGGGTTATGCTATGCCCGGCAAACCATACCGCGTCTACACAGATGCATGCGACTATGGACTTGCAGGAATTCTGCAGCAAGTTCAACCAATTTTGATCCGTGATCTCAAAGGAACCAGACTATATGAACGCCTTGAAAAAGCCTACAAAAAGGGAGAAGGAATTCCCACTCTTGTCGCGGCTATTAAAGGGGTTGATGATGTTCCTGCACCAGGAGATTGGGCGGACACTTTTGATGAAACAACAGTCCACGTTGAGCGGGTCGTGTCTTATTGGTCTCGGGTGCTCAAATCCGCTGAAC